CCCACTTTATCTGGGATGTTTTGGGATTCTAATGGATAATATGGGGGTCAAAGTCCCCTACAAGCTACCCTTGGTGCCAGAGTTGCCATCCAGGGCAGAGAACCCAGGCGTCAACTGTCCTGCCCATAGTCTGTGCCAGGGGCTTTGCCTGGAGTTCCAGGAAGGAGGAGGAAAGAGGGAGGAGAGAGGAGGAAAGAGGGAGGAAGGAGGAGGAAAGGGAGCCTGGGAAAGTCGAGGGAAGCCCAGGCCCTGGGGCTGGGGAGGGCGTGGGGTGGGTGTCGTTGGTATTCTGAGTGATGAGGAGTCCGTCCCCACCTCGATGCCCCCCCGCCCCCGGGCAGCGCTCAGGGCCCCCACCTGGCACCAGGCTGCACATTCAGCAGCAGAGCCCTGGCCTGTGGCCCTCTGGGCTCCCAGCAACGCCTGCTTTTTGTATATTGGCTTGCATGATCAGTAATGTCTGTTCACAGTGCCACCCCTTTAGCTCCCCATGTCTAGAGATTTCCTGCTTTGCTTTACTTAACCCATGATTCTGCTGTCTAACCTCCATCCCTCCAGCTGCAAAGTCAGCTCCTCCTCTGTGCAGGGAGTGGGACCCCACAGAGACAAAACCCCATCAGAGCTTCCTCTATGGTTGGTCATTTACAACTCATCCCTGCCTGCGAAAAAGAGATTCCTTCCCCCATTTTTATCCCCCAACCCAAACCACGAGGGGAGGGATCATCTCTCTTTCCAGAAACAAAGTCTCCCATTTTCCTTCCATCTTCTTCCCCATTGCCTAAGTCTGGATCTCTGAGTCCCTCCTCTTCCTCCCTTGACCAACGGGAAGTCCCTCCGGCTGTCTAACTTCCATCCCTCCTGCTGCAACATCATCCTCTCGCTTGGCTGGCGCTCCTTCCCCGCCCCTTCTGCCCTCCCTCCCTACTCCAAGTCCTCGGCTTCTCATCCCCAGAACGATGTCCTACTTCGCTCGTCCTTGCTGTCGCCGCTGCCGCCGGAAACCGACGCAGAGAAGGCAGACGGTCCCGTGATCTACCGGAGCCCCCCGTGTTCCCGGCCAGGGGGCGGGAGCGGCCCGGGGAAAGGCGGGGCAGGGGCGGGGGGAAGAAAGGGGGTTTTGTGCGGCGCCCCGCGGCCCGGCGCCCTCTTCCGAGCGTCCTGCGGGCCCGGCCTCTCCTCGCGCCCGCGCAGTCCCCGCCGCAGTCTCGGCTGCAGCGGCAGGACCGAGCCGTGCACCCGGAGGAGCCCCCGGAGGAGGCGGCAAACTTCGCGGTGCCGCACACCCACCCGGGCCCTCGGCCGCCTGCTGGCAGGTGAGTGCGACCGCAGCCCGGCCGCCAGGCCCTGGGAGGGAGAAGGCGCGCCCCCCGGCCGCCCCTTGATCCGCGACCCCGGTCCCGCAGCCCCAGCCTCCGAGGCTCTGGCGCGCCCACCTCGCCGAGCCCGGACACCTGGGCGAGGTCCGCGGCCGGCCACCGCGCAGCGCCTACGGCTCCTGCTGCCATCTGCGATCTACAAACGCCCCGCTTTGCCGCTGGCACCCCCATTACTGCCTGCAGTCTGACCGGCAGCCCCCTCTGGTCCGCGGGTAATGGGAACGCCACTCCTGGTCCTCGCGTCCTCCCTGCTGCGCGCTCCAGGCCCTGGGCCGCCGCCGAGTTGTCCGACCTTGTCCTGGGCGGGGAGGCGGCGGTCTGGGTCAGCCCTGACTCGGCGCCGGCGGTGGGAGCAGCACCGCGGGAGGAGCAGCAGCGAACAGCCCTTCTTCTGGAGACACTTCGCTGTAGCCCGCAGGACAGCCGATAGGAGGCGCTGTGGCGGATGGTAGTGGCGTGGACTCCGAAACTGGAATCCCGCTGCCGCTTACTTGCTGTGTGACCTTGGGCAAGTTAATTGACCTCCCTGAACTTTAGGTTCCTCATCGGTGTAACGACGAAAACATAAACATAGTATTTTCCTCACAGTTAAGGCTATCCACGGGAAGCAAGTAGGAAGTCTGGTTTAAGTAGATGTTCAATAACAGTAACCGTTAACTGGAATTCCAGTTGTCACTCTTGCTTTGCATTCCTAGCAGGCCAGTGGCCTGGGAACCCCTTCTTCGAAAACTCCCTAATCCCTTCCTAGCAGACTAGCTCTTCCCACATGATTCTAACAGGACCAAGAGATTTGCCATCGATTTTGTTAGCACCATTATCACCTGCGTTCCTTAGCGTCCAGATGATACCAGAAAGATCAGGAAACACTGTTACTGACAGACCCACCCACCATATTACCAGGGCCGATACTGTCATGGCTAACTTCGCCCTCAATAACAGCATCAACCACGTTTCAGATTTTCTACTAAAAGGAGCTGCAATAGCTCAGTTGGTGGTGTTGCTAATAATATGATTAGTCGTACTTCCGATAAATAGGAACATCTGTATGACGACTGCAATTACCCCTGCCAGCTCTGCTAAAGCCTCGCTGATATTGTCTTGGTTCACGTTGCGCTTTACTCTGCCACTAAGGGGACAGCGGAGGGCTATCCTGCTGTGACCCAGCGCTCTGGCCTCCTGCTGCCCACGCCGGAGCTCAGTTCCTAGGGGGCAGGCCTTGGACTGCCAGCTAGTGAGCATTCAGCACGGAGATGGTGGGTGTTAGGTGTGTGTGTGTGTATGTATGCACACACACACACAGCCTGGTCTTGATTCTGTGAGAGAAACAAATGTCCTAGATCAGACAAGAATGAGGCGCTAACCAGAGGGAAGTTTCCTGAACAGCTCAATGAAACTCAGAAGGAAGGCAGAAATCCCGGGACTGGGGCAGGAAAGGGAGAGTTGGAGAGGTGGGGAGGGGGGTGGAGTAGAGGCAGGGGAAGAGACAGAATGACTGCCTAACGAACTCTCTAGATGAGAGATGGAACACAGAGTGGGAGTGGGTGGTGTGTGTGGGACGGAAAAGGCCAAGGCCGAGACCCCTTGGTTATGAGCCTGGTGCTGGCTGAGAGGATGCCTGAGTTTTCCCAGGACTCCTGGCTGGATGAGGAAGCAGCTGAGGCCCAAGCTTGAGCTCTCTGAGGACCTGCACAACCAGGGCCACCTTCTCCAGCCCTCTGGTCAGTGGCTCCCAGTCCTGGAGCTGGGAGTGGGCTACCCTCCATGTTCCAGGACAGCAGGTCCTCCTCAGTCTCAGACCCTCCTCCTCCATTTCCCCACTTTCAGAACAGGGGTGGAAGGTGTAGTTCAGGGTGTTGGCCCCAAAGTGGCTCTGGCTATATGGGTTTCTGGGCTGCCTGTCTGGGAGTTGGGTGCCAGGTCTGTGAGCAGCTCCAGCTCAGCCCCAGGCAGGGAGGGAGGCGCCAGGAAGGAGCTTGGCCTAGGCCCTGGCACAGCTCAAATGCATGGCCAACCGTCTCCTAAGCACCTGGCAGGCACTGGCTGCTCATGCCAAATAGTGCCCTCTCCAGCCCCAGAACACAGCCCTCCCCAGTGCCCATGCCTAGTGCTGGTCTCAGCACCCTCTGATCTGGCCCCTTCCGAGAACCTCCTCCCCCTGAAAGATCAGAGAGAGGCCCTAGGCATCTGGCTCCCGTCCCTCCTCCCGACTCCGGCACTGAGGAAATGACATCCCACCACAGGGGGGGAAATGGAGGTTATACCGGTGGAGAGTCAGGAGAGCTGACCCTGGGAGGATCTGCGAGAAGGGTGAAATTTCCTGTCAGTCCAGGTTCAGGAAGGCAAAGCCTGAGCGGGCTGAGGAGATGGTGGTTGAACAATGGGTCTGCAGCGGGAGTGAGTTGCCGGGGGAAGAAGCCTGGAAGTCTTGCCTGAAGTCTAACCTTCATCCCTCCTGCTGCATCATTGGACTATTCCATGGCAGACATGGGTGCCCATGCTCTGCTATGGCTAGCCTGACCCTTAAAGGTGACATTGGACACTGGCTCTGCAGCCTTCTCTCCTGAGGGCACATGGCCTGGTACCTAATTTGCTTTGCTGGGGACTTAGGGTCAACCCTGTCCAGCTCCAGGGTCTCAGTTTCCATTTCTCAGTGTCACATCCCCACCCTCCCATCATGAGAGCGTAAGTGCTGAGATCTTCAGGGGACTGTTCTGAGTTTTCAGAGCTTCTGATAGTCCGGGGTAGGAGGGGCATGGCCCCTCCCATTTATTCTCGCTCCCCTTAGCCCAGCCTTTCAGCTCAGGGTTTTCACAAAAGGTGGGGTGGGGGAAGGCAGAGGCTGGATGGGGGCCAGGCTGGCAGAGACAGGGGCTTTGTCCCAGCTAGTTTCTGAGCCAGGAGATCCGGTGGGAAAGCCCGTGCCAGGCAGAAAGGAAAGGCTGGGGGGAGGAAGTGAGGAGGGAGCCAGGGAAGGGGGGCAGAGGATGCTGGGGAGAAGAGGGGCGCTTCCTTATAAGTAATGGGGAGGGGGAGAGGAGGAGTTGGACCTAGGAGAGGCTGTGCATTGCCTGGGTTCAGTTTAGGAGGCCCTCTTGGAGGAGGCCAGGTGGGTATGGAGCCCAGGGAGGAAAAGATAGGAAGGGAAGGTCAGAGGGGTACTCTGGGAGGAGGAAGCTCTGGGTTCAAGGAAGGACCCTGGCACCGGGAGGAGCAGAGGGAGTCCTAAGTATAATAACACCCACCATTTATGCTATAAGCATTTATTGAGCTCCTACTGTGTGCCTGGTGCTACAAAGCACCCTCAAAGCAGCATAAGCTTGTCACAACTTGTGAAGCGGTGGTAATGGTGCTCTTTTACAAGTAAGGAGACAAAGGCCCAGAAAGGGTAAGGAACTTGCCTAAGGTCACACAGCAAGTTGACTAAGACCCAGGTCTTAGCTCTGAGGAGGAATTCCTTGGCTGGGAGACAGGGATCAGACAGTCACAGAGTTAATGGTGAGGTGGGGGCAATGGGCTTCTGAGGCCAGGACATGTGTGAGCCCAAGTGGATATGGTAAGGGGCTAGGGGAAGTCTATCTTAAGGTCTAACTCCATCCTTCCTCCTCAAGTCCCTCCATCAGCCTGCATCATGGTCCCACTGCTCCTGCCCCTGCTGGCAGCCCTGGCTCAGGTCCCTGTGGCCTTAGCCGACGCCCTGGAAAGGGACAGCTCAGGTAAGCAATCCCACTCAGGGTCGTTGTCTTCTCCATCTTCCCTTTGGTGTGGGGAGGCCTCTTTTCCAGCCCTAACCAAGCGCCTCCAGCCTTGGAGTGGGGATGAGTCTGGGCTGGGGCACTTGGAAGGAAGGGATGAGTTGTGGGACCCTGGGTGGGGTGGGGGAAATTTGGCAGCAGGGCTGCGGCGGGCCCCTAAGTACAAGGCTGCAGGACCCTAGAGTCTAGGATGGGCCTGGGAGGCAAAACAGTGATGAAGTTGTTAGAAAACTTGGAAGTGACTCTGAAAAGCACAGACTGGGAGATTCTGGGGACAGGGCTGAAGGATGCAGAGGCGACGTTAGACCACCCTGGCGTGGATCCAGTGGAGACTCTGGGATGGGCCTGGAGGACTGTGGGGTGGTGGGGGTTGCAGGACCCTGGGGGCGGGGCTAGGAAACCCCTGGGCGAGGCGGGGGAGGGGCACGGGGCGGGGCTTGGAGACCCTGAGCAGGACCCAGCCGGTCCACAGCGCTCAATTCCAGCGGGCCCCGCCTGCCCACAGAGGACCGGGCCTTCCGTGTGCGCATCGCGGGCGACGCGCCGCTGCAGGGCGTGCTCGGTGGCGCCCTCACCATCCCGTGTCACGTCCATTACCTGCGGCCGCCGCCGAACCGCCGGGCCGTGCTGGGCTCTCCGCGCGTCAAGTGGACCTTCCTGTCCGGCGGCCGAGAGGCCCAGGTGCTGGTGGCGCGGGGGCTGCGCGTCAAGGTGAGCGAGGCCTACCGGTTCCGCGTGGCGCTGCCCGCCTACCCTGCGTCGCTCACCGATGTCTCCCTGGCGCTGAGCGAGCTACGGCCCAACGACTCCGGCATCTACCGCTGCGAGGTCCAGCATGGCATAGATGACAGCAGCGATGCGGTGGAGGTCAAGGTCAAAGGTGAGGGTGAGGGGCTGGGGCGAGGTTCCTGAGGACGGGAAGGGAGGACTTTTGCGCTCAGGGAGCCCAGTCTAAGGGGGGAAGCAAACCCACCCGGAAGGCACAGACTGAGTTGGAAAAGGAGTAAGGAGACGCAGGCTTTCGTCACCTTCTTTCTCTGGGAGCCCTGGTGGCGCAGTGGTTAAGCAGTTGGCTGCTACCCAAAAAGTTCACAGTTTGAATCCACCAGCCTCTCCTTGGAAACCATGTGGGGCAGTTCTACTCTGTCCTGTAGGGTGGCTGTGAGTTGGTATCCACCGGACGGGTTTCTCTCTTCAGATAGAGGAAATTCTACACAGTCTAGCCCAAGCTCCTCATGCTGTAGAGTGAGAGCGATTTGAACTTGACTCTTTGTGTACAGACGGATGACAAAGAGGGTGAGGGAAGGTCAGTGTGCTGGGTGATCAGCACGCTCAAGAATCCTCTCCGCTCCTCAGGGGTCGTCTTTCTCTACCGGGAGGGCTCTGCCCGGTATGCCTTCTCCTTCGCTGGGGCTCAGGAGGCCTGTGCCCGCATTGGGGCCCGCATCGCCACCCCCGAGCAGCTCTACGCCGCCTACCTCGGGGGCTATGAGCAATGTGATGCTGGTTGGCTGTCCGACCAGACTGTGAGGTGGGCTGGGGGCTGTGGACGGGTGGCTTACAGTTATCATTGTGAGGTGGCTGTGGCCTGCGGCTCTGCCAGGGGCTGTGTCGGGTTGGGCATACAAGGCTCTCTGCCTCAGGGAATGAGGTTGGTTTGAAGAAGGTGATGAGAACCCTCCACTGGGGGAGAGGGGACAGAGGTGTCCCTGCAGAGCTGGGAGGGCAGCCAGACCATCAACAATTGGCTGCATTGAGAAGGCAACATGATTTGGTAGGATCAATATGGGATGGCTCCCTGGTGAAGGTTTCTGTACTGAGCTTCTATCCTCCTTCCCCAGGTATCCCATCCAGACCCCACGAGAGGCCTGTTATGGAGACATGGATGGCTTCCCTGGGGTTCGGAACTATGGGGTGGTGGACCCGGATGACCTCTATGATGTCTACTGTTATGCTGAAGACCTAAATGGTGATTGGGGGTGGGGGGTTCCCAAGAGATGGAGCCCCTTCTCCAGCATTGACCGTAGGTCTTCCCGAGGCCTCTGCTGGGGGAAGACCTTACCCATCTGGACCTCATTGTCCGTCATGTGTCTAAGGGGGAAGCCAGGGGCAAGGAGATAATCCTTCCTTTCAAATACTGTTGAAGAGGCCAAAGCCTCAGGTGACAGGAGGCTGAATTTTAGTTCTGACTCTGCCGCTACCTGCTGTGCGTCGCTCTCTGCTTCTTAGCATATCTGGGCCTCGGTTTCCTTCTTTTCAAAATGAGAGTGCACAGGCTGGTCCAGGTTCCTCTCAGCTCCAATATCCATCCTGAGGTTCTAGCCAGACTCTGATTGTGTGAAGTAGGGTAGTTGACTCCATATCACAGATGAGGAGACTGAGACCTGGAGAAGCTTGCCCGAGGTCCCTATGGGAGCCCAGGGTTGAAGGGGCTACCAACCACCTGGTAACTCAGCCCCCTCTTCCTCACACAGGAGAGCTATTCCTGGGTGCCCCCCAAGACAAGCTGACTTTGGAGGAGGCAAAGATGTACTGCCGGGAGCGGGGTGCGGAGATTGCCACCACGGGTCAACTGTATGCAGCCTGGGATGGTGGCCTGGACCGCTGCAGCCCAGGCTGGCTGGCTGATGGCAGTGTGCGCTACCCCATTGTCACACCCAGCCAGCGTTGTGGTGGGGGACTGCCTGGCGTCAAGACCCTCTTCCTCTTCCCCAACCAGACTGGTTTCCCCAACAAGCACAGCCGCTTCAATGTCTACTGCTTCCGAGGTGAGCCCTCCTCCCCACAGAGGGTGAGACCAGCTTCATAGGGCCAGGGTCAAACCCTAGAAGTCCTACCCCAGCTCTGATCGAGTTCTCTCAGGTCTGTGCTGTTTGCCTGAAGGAGCCTTGGGTGATACATAGCTTTGTCATCTAGGGCTGTAATTCAGGGCATGTCTCCTGGCATGGTCTCACTCACCTGTGTGGCCCCATGGAGTGACTGCCTCCCTGCATCTCCTCACTCCCTTCCTCCACAGTAGTCCATGCGTTTCTCTTCCAGTTTCAAAACCACTTCTCCATATTGGGCTGCCGACTGAGTTCCCGTTTCCTGTCAGCTCACTGACAGAGCAGAGATGACTGACATTCTCTGAAGCCTATGAGTGGTCATACCTGCTCTTCAAATTCTCCCAGTCAACTTATGCCTGGGGGGGTGGGGGGGTGGAATTTCCAAAACCTGAGGCTTGAAGGTGTCAAATCTTTACCAAATACTGATGAACAGATGGAATTCCCCTCATAGGGAGCAGGGTCTCAAGAACAGTTGGGTGTAGAGAGGGCTCTCTACCCGTATATTGGGAGATGGAGGGAAAGCGGTGCCCATGACCCCCAGAGGCACAGGGTCCAGGCCAAGGGTGACTGATGGTTGGGGAAACATTGCCACATGTCGTCTAAGTCCCTGCCCCACTTGTGAGCCTGCAATATTGGTGCAAGGGCTGGAGGCAGAAAAATGAGGAGGAGATGCAGCCATTGCCCTCAGGGAGCCCTAGTCTGAGGGGGAGGACACAGCTTTTGCCATGGGAGCCCCCAGTCTGAAGGAAGACAGGATGCCTCCCTCCCAGGCAGAGGAGAGACTGAGAGAAAAGCATGACTTCCGTTGGACAGATCTCCAGATGTCTTTGGCTTGGGGCTGGGGATGGGTGGGGATGAGGTTCGCAGGAAGATGGGTCCATCTGGGAAGGCTTCCTAGGATAGGGTTAACAACAACAATAACGACTATGATAATAGTAGCTAACTTTTCTACGCTCTATGTGCCAAGCAGTGTTCTGGGAAGAAATGAAAGGAGGAGCTGAATCAGGAGGAGGTGGGAGGGGAGAGAATAACTATCTTTGGGAGCAGGTGGAAGACAGGCAAGCGAGGGCACACGTGTGCTTTTCTGGCATGGAGCAAGGCTTGCTGGAGCAGGTGATGAAGGCAGGGATGTCCTGTCCTGTCTTGCCCGGCTGAGCAGACGCCCCTCAGGGCTTTTCTTAGCCCAATTCCATCTTTTGCTTCATTGGTTTTCTTCTCTCTGTTCCCTTCCCCAAAGGACAAGGTAATCCGTTCTAAACTGCTAGTTACTTGAAAGGAGCAGACCCCAGAAGAAGAGGTGGCCCTTTCTTTGCCCTCTTGTCCCAGCTCTGAGATCCTCAGACGGTGACTACAGAATGTTCTTCCTGAGCTCTACCTTTCTCCTGTCCTGTGATAATGGCAGCCTGTCCCCTTCCATCTCAAGAATCTTAGGATGTGAGGCTGAATGAATGGAATCCCTCATAACCTTGCCACCCAGCCCAGGGTCCCAAGGTGCTGAGGCCACTCTGTCCATCCTTTTCACTCCATCCCCTCACTCACGGGAATATCTCTCACCTGAGCCTCTCCTGACCACTCTACCTAAAGTACTTCCCATCATTCTATCTCCTTTTCTGCTTAATTTTTCTTTACATTGTAACATTATAATATAAGTTTATTTGTTTATTTTCTGTATCTAGACTCTAAATTCCCTTGACAGCAGGAAGTTTCCTGCTTTGTCCCCCACTGTCTCCTCGGTGCCCAGAAGCATGCTTGACTTGTTAACTATTAGACACTTGATTAATGTTTGAGGAATGAGTGACAAAGTCCTAGGATGCTTCCTGGGCCCTGTGGGAGCTCCACAGGGGACATGTGAGAGAATCCCATGGTCTCTGACAGTCTAACCCAGAACCCTCACACTGCAGGCTGTGACCTGAGAGGGCACCTGTTCAGCCTCATTTGGGCACTTTCCTCCTGCCACAGACTCTGCCCAGCCCTCTGCCATCCCTGAGGCCTCTAACGTAGCCTCTGACCCAGCCTCTGATGGACTGGAGGCCATCGTCACAGTGACAGAGACCCTGGAGGAGCTGCAGCTGCCTCAAGAAGCTGTGGAGAGCGAGTCTCGTGGAGCCATCTACTCCATTCCCATCATGGAGGATGGTGGCAGCTCTACTCCCGAAGACCCTGCGGAGGCCCCTAGGACCCTCCTAGGTAACTCGAATCCCTTATCCTGGGGATGTCTCCACCTGAAAGAAGTTGGGGGCAGAAGGGGCAAGCCCAGGTTGATGCTGAAGTCATGACTGGCATGACTTTCCCCCAGCCTTTCTCAGCAGCTCGATGGTGCAGGGCATCTCTCCTGTCCCTCTCCCAACCTTTGCCTTTCCAGCACATTCCACCCCCAACTCTCTGGGAAGTCAGTCCCCAGAGCAGATTCAGAGAGCTTGGAAAGGGCTGGAAATGCTTGGACTAAGGAGCTTCCCCCAGGAAAGAGGGGTCTTCTTTCTTTGGTCCCTCCTCCCCCTTGCCTTCCCTAAATGGAGTATTGACAGACAAGGAAAGGGGGATGAAACGAACATGTCCTCCTAGGCTACTGAACAGATTACAGGGACTTCTCAAGTGTCCCCTCAACCCTGAAGCTCAAGTTGAAGTCCTGCTTATAGTGCGGAGCACAGGGCCTCACCCTCCCCAGCCCTGCCTTTCGCCCCTTCCCTTTCATACTTCCTGTCCACTGCTGGGATGCTGTCCTTGGTGCTGAACCCTCTGTGCTTTGCCCAGAATTCGAAACCCAATCGATTATACCTCCCATGGGATCCTCAGAAGAGGAAGGCAAGTTGTTGGAGGAAGAAGAGAAATACAAGGATGAAGAAGAGAAAGAGGAGGAGGAGGAAGAAGAGGAGGATGTGGAGGATGAGGCCCTGTGGGCCTGGCCAAGCGAGCTTGGCAGCCTGGGCCCAGAGGCACCTTTTCCCACAGAGCCGGCCCTGGAGGAGTCGCTGTCCCAGACATCCCCAACGGCAAGGGTGATCCTGCGGCCTGCTGCATCGCCACCTTCTGGTGGAGAGTCAGAGGCTCCCAGGCCTCCGAGGGTCCATGGACCACCCACTGAGACCCGGTCCACTCCCAGGGAGGGGAAACTAGCATCCCCACCACCTTCCACACCGTTTGGGGCGAGAGAGGTGGGGGAAGAGACTGGGAGTCCTGAGCTGTCTGGGGTTCCCCGAGGAGAGAGTGAGGAGACAGGGAGCTCCGAGGACGCCCTTTCCCTGCTTCCAGCCACACGGGTCCCTGAGGGCACCAGGGAGCTGGAGGCCCTCTCTGAAGAGAATTCTGGAAGAACTGCCCTAGCAGGGACCTCAGTGCGAGCCCAGCCTGTGCTGCCCACTGACAGCACCAGCCGCGGTGGAGTGGCCGTGGCCCCCTCAGCAGGTAACTCTGCCCAAGGCTCCACCTCTCTCTTTATCCTCCTCTTTTCTCTCCCCTTGCTGCTCTGGGTCACTTGACCTGTAGTCCTTTAATCCACCATTGTCCCAGACCCTCCTGTCCTTTACCTTCATTCTGTTACCCACCTCTACCTGTGGGTCTCTAATCCTGGACACCCCACCTTCAGACTTCCATCCCAGCTCTCTAACTCCTCTCCCTGTGACCTCCAGCTCCACGATCCCCACCCTGTGATCCTCTTCCTATTCCTGAAATCCTTACCCTATGACTCTCAGCCCCACCACTGAACACCTGGGACCCTTTGCTACCTTTGGGCTCCCCACCCTGTGACTCTCATCTCCTCCAACCCACAGAGCACCCTCACACCCTGGTCAGGGTGCCCCCCTCACCTACTGCACTCTTCGGGGCCGGGGTCTTTCTTCCACTGTCCCCTTCCCCCCTCCTGTGTGCCACCCCCTTCAGCTGCCTCCCAGTGATGTCAGGGAAGCCTGGGATTCCATCCTTCCTCTCACAACTTCTGGAGCCCAGGAGAGCCCCTGTCCCCACGGAGCCTTAAATGATTACTTCTGTGAAGTATTTTTTCGACTGTTTCATGGAAAACAAGCCTCAGAAATAAATCTCTATTAAACTGCTTTATAACCAAAACTCTGGCACACTCTGTCTCCATCTCCAGCTGTCTGATCTTTTCATTCCATGGATCTGTGTCCTGGGTAGCTCTTTGGTGCTTTCTCTTTGGTGCCATGTCTCTCCCTGTCTGTCTCTCGCCTTCTGTCTCTGCCTGTATCTCTCTTTGCTTCTCTCCTTTTTCATCTTCAGCCTGCACTCTTTCTTGTCCTGGCAGTCTAACAGCCCCTTGCTGCTCTCTCACACTTTCCTTCCTGACTGCTGAGATCCTAAATATGACTGTACACGTTACCCCAGAGAAGCAATCATCAGCCTGGGGGAGTGCTGGGAATTCTAGTCCCTCACTCCTAATGGGGAGAAGCCTACACAGCCTGGGGTGTACCTGCGTGTGCATTTATATTTATTTCTGATCCATCCTGGTTGCTCCCATATACACAGAAGTGACTCAGATAGTCCTTCTTGGCATAGAGGCCCTTTCCTGGCACGGAGGAGGCCCAGCCCTCCACCCCTTGCATCTCAGCAAGGGGAATGGCATCTAACTCTCATCCCACTGCCCACAGCCTCTCCCTCCCCCGCTAATCCCTGCACTAATGACCACTCCCACACCCCAGAGAGAATGGTTTCACCCTCCCAAACCCAAAGGACCTCGAAGTCCCTAATGCTGGAGAAGACACAAATCAGAGATGCAGAGTGTTAAGGAAAGGGGAGTGGGAAGTTAGGTTCTGGAGTCTGAGAGAAACCTTACCTACTTGGGGAAAGTTGAGCTTCCCAATGGAGATCTCTGGAGAAGGCTGGAAGCCCCCCAGCCCGTGGACCTCCTCTCCTAGATGGCCCAGGGTAGGCTAGATGTCCCTGCATCTCACCCAGGCTCACCATTTCCAACTGTTGGCTCCCTGCCCAGCTGGCCCTGGAGTGAGTTCAGCACTGTGTGGCCGAGAAGGTGGTTTTGGTGGGGGAAGAATCACCACTGGAGGTGTCTGCTGTGTCATAGTTACCCCAGACTCACCACATGGCCAGACTGGAGGATGCGTGAGAGGCCACCTGGTCTGCTATTACAGCAGGAGAGAAGGGTGTTAGATCCCAAGGGAGGGGGGGAGGAGGACAAAAAGGTCTCAAGAAGAGCTCCTTTATCCCCTACTCTGTGCGTCCCGGGCTCAGGTTCTGCAGCCCATAGCCAGGGGAAGGGACGTGTACTGGATGGGGACCAAGTCGGACCAGGTTGGAGGGTTGGAGGGCTGGGCAGGGAGGAGAGAAGAGGCCAGCAGGGGAGCAGTAAAGTAGGAGGGGGGAGGAGTGTCCAGGATTCTTAACCTTTGTGGGACCTGGAGCTTAAAGAGTTAAACAAAATGTCTCCCCCTTTGCCCAGGAGAAGAGAACAACCAGCTTGGGAGAAACCATTGGCAGGAGAGGTGGTGACAGGGGGAGTGGTATTAGAACAGCTGATTCATTTTAACCAAAACAGCTAGGTCATCCCAGCAAAATTCTTTGAATCAACTCCAGCTTCTCTTCTCCCCGCCCCTCCTCTGATCCCCACCAGGCAATGGGATTTTGGGCCAGAGTGAAGCATTGTGGGCCTTGGCCTCTACCACTAGGGCTGGGTGGTATGGTCTGAAGGGTCCCGCCCAGGGAAAATATTAACCCCTGGGCTGAGGGCTCTGACCTGCGCTGTAGGACCGTCTTGCCCTGGGTCATCTGCACCACGAATGGGTCAACCTGACAACCCCTCCAGCACCCACGCCCCAGCTTGAGGGCAGCCAGTGCTCACCCCAGGATCAAGAGAAAGAGGGAGTCCAGGGAGAGGGCAGAAGGCCTAGCAGACACAGCTGGATCCAGACAGCAGATTCCAGGCTGCCAGAGTAGTGTCAATCTAAGGGGACTGCCTGGAGGCGAGGGAGCCAGAGCAGGAAGTGAGGTGGAGTGGAAGGTTTCTAGGCTGGGAACCTGCAGAAGGTCCTGAGGTGGAGGAGGGCAGGGAGTCTGGTAAGGGAGAAGAGTTCTGAGAGGTAGGAAGGAGAGGCAGAGAGAGATCCGGTGATGCAGAGAGGGAGCTGAGGGTGTGGGGCTGGCACTGCCAGACCGTGGGAGCCACGGCAACTTCTTTCCTGAGCTGTGGCAGAGGGGACAGGGACTGAGTGAGGACAGAGGCATGGGTCTCCACTGACAGCTTCTGGGGCTGGCTGACCCTGCCCAGTGCACAGCAGGAAGAATGGTTAGCCTCCCCTTGGGCCACCCGAACGCCAGGTCCCAGAGGCAGTAAAGGTCAGACCAACCCCACTGTTGCTATAGCTACTCTCCTAGACCATACAGAGCTGGCACACAGAAAGAAGGGGAGGACTAAACTCCAGGCCTAGAGAGGGGAAGTAACCTGCCCGAGGTCACGCAGCAGAACCAGGAGCCAGATAAGAGACCAGGTCTCATGACCAACGGCCCAGTATCTCTCCCTTTAGTGCACTTGGCTCCGGAGGGCCTTCCTGGGCACTTCAGCCCCTGTTGGCCTGGGCCCACGCTGATGGGCATGAGGATGGCCCACAAGGGCTGAGCCAAGGCTGAAGTCGGGGAGGGGAAAGGGAAGACACCCAGAACTCAGGGCAGGGCTGTGAGCAAAGGCGGGCTCCAGGGCGAACTCTTAGGTTGCTGTTACCAGGACAGGGAGGTCAGGGCTCGGGGACCTTCTAGACCCTCTCCTGAGGGGCTCAGGCTGCAGAGTCGCTCTCCCGCACCCCAACCCCACCTCACTCTTCCCCTCTCTCAGGTGACTGTGTCCCCAGCCCCTGCCACAATGGTGGGACATGCTTGGAGGAAGAGGAAGGGATCCGCTGCCTGTGTTTGCCTGGCTATGCGGGGGACCTATGCGATGTTGGTAAGTGTGTTGAGGGGCATGGCGGGAGGCGGTCTAGAGCCTGGACCCCGCCGCACGTGCTCGTTCATAGGGGAGGGGCACTGGCTTTGGCTCTGTCACTAACGAGTTCCCGTATTAGGCAAGGCACATAATCGCCCTGAGCCCTATGCTCAACTTTCTCATCTGTTAAATGGGACCAAAACGCCTCTCTCAGGGGTCCGTGAGGAGCGCTTAGTACATTCCTGGCATTTGGTAGGCACTCCATTCAGGCCACTTTCTGTTCTCCTGGGAAGACAGGAGGGTACCAGTCTTCTTTGGGATGGAGGATGGCAGAGGCCCAGGCTGAGATGCCATCCCTCACCCTGTCCTTGCCCCGCAGAGAGGGCGTCAAGGACCCCCCGCTCAAGGGCCCCTGCTCCCCATCGGGCTCCCGCCACGCCCCCAGACGCTGTACGAGCCCTTTTGTACCGCCTCCTGCCCCTTAGTCCCGTCCCCTCGCTCCGCAGCGGTGGGAGGAGCCCAGTCCCTCCCAAGGGGACATAGTCCCTCCGGGTTCCAGGGTTCTCCTGCCTAAGCTGCCAGTCCTTCTGTGCCCCAGGCCTCCACTTCTGCAGCCCCGGCTGGGACGCCTTCCAGGGCGCCTGCTACAAGCACTTTTCCACCCGGAGGAGCTGGGAGGAGGCAGAAACCCAGTGCCGGATGTACGGCGCGCACCTAACCAGCATCAGCACCCCCGAGGAACAGGACTTCATCAACAGTGGGCAGGGGACCCTGCCAGCCGCTCACTCACTCACTAATTCACCCCTTTATTCATTAATTCACTCGCTCATGACTTGGCTCACTTCATTCATTCACTTTTTCGTTCTCTCCCTCCCTCCCATTCCACTCCTGGGTAGCGGGGCTTCAGCCGGGGAGGGCCTGGGTTTCGCGCGGGAAGGTACACGGGTAGGAGCCTGACCATAGCTCAAGGGACCCGCCTGCAGTCCCTCTCACCCTCCCCGGCTCTCCCATCTCCATCTGCCTTATCGACTCTGATCTTACTGAAAGTTTTGACTCTTTTCCCAGAGTTGTCCCCTTTCTAGCCCTGGTGGGTATTTCCCCCACTTCCACCCCCACCCTTACCTTCCATCTGGGCCACATGCAGAGGTTGGAGGGAGGAGAGAAACTGGGAAAGGCGGGTTTGGGATGCGGGAAGGACTTCCCGGCGCGGTCACCTACAGACCGCCGGGTAACGGGGAATGGCCGCCATCTGCTGGCCGAAGACCTCACTGCACACCTTCGTCTCCCCTGTGGTCATTCCCCAGATCAATACCGGGAGTACCAGTGGATCGGGCTCAATGACAGGACCATCGAAGGCGACTTCCTGTGGTCGGATGGTGTCCCCCTGGTGAGAGGCCCCAGCTGCCCCTCTGTCTAGTAGTTCGCTTCCTTGAAGCACTTCTGCCCTCCATCCTGCAAAGACCCCTCCCCTCCCTCTCCCCGGGGCCCCTTCTCTTTCCCTTGCCCTCTGCCTCTCCTCCCGGGGCCCCCCTCCCTTCCCTGGGCCTCTCCCTTCACCGTATTCCTTCTCCTCCAGCTCCGATCCTCTCCCCCGTCCCCTTCGCCCCCACACTCGTCACCTTCCCTCTCCTGGTGCCCCCACCCCTCCTTCTTCTCCCCAGATCCTATAGGCCCCTTTCCCCCAATGCTCCTGGTGTTCCAGAGCTGCCCACCACTTTCTCTGTCCCCCACCCCCACCCCCAGCTCTATGAGAACTGGAACCCTGGACAGCCTGACAGCTACTTCCTGTCTGGAGAGAACTGCGTGGTCATGGTGTGGCATGACCAGGGACAATGGAATGATGTACCCTGCAACTACCACCTGTCCTACACCTGCAAGATGGGGCTGGGTGAGGGCGGGCAGGGGCGGGTCAGGCGAGGGAAGGGAGGGATGGGGGCTGGGGGATCCAGGGGCTGAAATGTGTACAAAAGGGGGTGTGAAGCTACACCCAGTCAGAAATGGGTCCCAGACTCTAGGAGGGACAACAAATTACGTGGGTCCACTCGGAATCCCTGCTCTTTTTTGTGTCAGGCTGTGGCTCACTCCTTTCCTCTCCTCTCCAACAACTGTGCCCCCCCCTGCAGTGTCCTGTGGGCCCCCACCGAGGCTACCCCTGGCTCAAGTGTTTGGCCACTCACGACTGCGCTACGAGGTAGACACAGTGCTTCGATACCGGTGCCGGGAAGGGCTGGCCCAGCGAAACCTGCCGCTGATCCGCTGCCAGGAGAATGGTCTCTGGGAGCCTCCCCAGATCTCCTGTGTGCCCCGAAGGCCTGTGAGTGGCCAGGAGGAGGCGGAGGGGGGGCACTAGCCAACAGTAGCCCAGGGCTCCCATCCCAGCTGGCTGTGTCACCTTGGAGTAATCACTGCCCCTCTGTCTGCTCGGATCCTCCTCTGCAAAGGGGTAGGGGGAGCTCGGGGGGACTCGATGCTCTGGGACCCCCTTCAGTGCTGATATCTGAGAACATGCTACCATACTCTGGGCTCTTAAGGGCTGAGCCAGGGCTAGTGTTTTGATGAAGTCAGGGACCAAGGTGCGAGAGGACCAGAGGGCGGGCTCTGACAGAAGAGGAGGGGCCCAGGATGGAGGGTGAGCATGATTGTCTTCCCCAGGCCCGAGCCCTGCGCACAGCGAAGGCCCCAGGAGGACACCAGGAGTGGCTGCCTGGGCGCTGGAAGGCACTGTTGACTCCTCCTTCCAGCCCCACCTCAGGTCCATAGAGGGCAAGGCCTTGAATACTGCTGCCTCCAGCTCTGCGCTGTCACCCAACCCTCCCTTGCACCCTGTGTTCGTACCACCACAGGCAGTGACAAGATGAGAGGGGTGGAGCTGGGGCCAGGTCACAGTGCCGGAAGGGTCTTCTGGGAAACACCTGGTTTGCTCCACCCAGCCCAGGCCCTCTCTCCCACCCTGGGCATTTTCCCTCAGGGCAACCGGTAAGTCCCTAAGTGCCTCAACTGCTCTCTCTCTGCCGGCTCTCCTGCCCTCTCCATTTCCCTATGGGGCACTGTGCCCACTCATTCTTGGTTTCCAAGAGAATGGGATTGCTGGATGGAGCACCTGTAAAACCAGCAGGAAATAAAACTGCACTTGAGCCTAAGCAAATTTGATGCCCTCGTGTGTGTGTGTGTGTGTGTGTGTGTGTGTGTGTGTTTGTGTGTGTGTGTGTGTGTGTGAGAGAGAGAGAGAGAGGTAGCATCGGACAGGGCCTCATAGGATAAATAGGGCTTCTGTGTTTATTAACTTTTGAAGGTAAGAGAGGTCCCCAAATGTCAGTGGATAGCGCTGTACCTGGCACAGAATAGATGCCCAGTAAATATCTGTGGCATGAAGAAACCCATAGGGGGTGGAGGACAGCTGGAGGGATGCAGCTGCAGGACGTTTGGAAGGAGATGGAGCCCCTGAAGTGCTCAAGAGTCAAGCCGACCTAGCCGAGAGGAAAGCAGAGAGGTGGGTGCTTTTGTGTCCTCATTTCGGGGTTCTGAGGCTGGTTCTCTCAGGGGATGTGAGGATACAGGGAAGGCTAGACAGGCACTGCAGCAGAAAGATTTGGGGCTAGAATGCAAGAAAGCTTGCCGCCAGCAGAGAAGGCGAGATGCAGAATCGGGAGAGGTCCCCAGCCTGGGTGTGGGGCTGGGCTCTGGGGAATAACCTGTGGGTCTTCTAGGCTGTGACCAGCAGAGGGCGCTGCGGATTTAGGCATGTCAGCCTGGGAGTGCTGTGTGCGCATGCGTATGTGGAGAAGCGTGAGTCCCAGGTTACCGCCAGGGGGCGCCTTGGACTTTCTTTCTGAGGCGCCCGGGGCGGGTAAGAGGGGCAATTGTCTGGGAGCAGGGTAGCACTTCCGGCCAAACTGAGCCGGCCCTAGGGGCTGTGAGTCAGCGGAGATTGAGGTGGTGAGGTCACGCTGAGAACTGGAGAGAGTGATCGAGGGGTGTGTGTGTGGGTGTGTGTGTGGGTGGGTGTGTGTGTGTGTGTGTGTGTGTGTGTGGGGTGTGGGTGTGTGTGTGTGTGTGTAGCTAGCTTTTCTGTGTACCTTATCAAAGCACATAGTGCACCTTATGGTAAAGTGTGTGAGTGTGTGTTAGGATTGGTATGTCTTTATGAAGAGGGTGAATCTTATTGCTGCACATCGTCACACTTAACCACACTCTTACAGATACGCGCACACACATAGGGACACTGTCATACCCACATAGGTAATTCTTTTCGTACCCACGTAGGTAATTCTTTTCCTAAAAGTCGATAAAACCAAGAGACAGGAAGACAGATCCAGAGGAGCAAAAGTCTGAGAGAAATATGAGAGACCCAGAGATGCTGAGGCAAGATTGGCAGAGAGACAGGTGCATGTGGAGGGGAGCTGGGGGCTCTCCCAGATCATTCCTGCCCAGCTCCTGGGCCTTCCCCCCCTGTAACTAGACCTCAGCCAGTTGGTCTCTGAGATACCAGCACTGATCTCCCAGACCCCAGCTGCCCCACCTCCCCCACCCACCTCACATTCCTCACTCTAGGGGCTCACCTGCCTATCTTCTGCCCTTTCCACACAACCCAGCCCAGCATGGCCAGGGTGCAGGGACAGTTTCTTGAGGGGCTCTAGGGAAGAGGATGATCCTGTGGGCAGAGTAGACCCCCAATTTATCCTGTATTATTTTGCCATGGCTTACTCAATACATTTTTAGGGATGTGAGGGCACTTAGCTGGAATTGTGAGTGGAGGAAGACCACGGTGGGCCTTTGAAGGTAGGCCCTGAAGAGGGGAAGGCGATATTTGTCCTTGGATTCTTGAGGGAGGTTCTCTGAGAATCACATCCTCACAGAGACAGAGTTTAGACAGCATGTTGGGTTTCCCAGAGAGACCTTGATGGTGAGCTGGAAGGGGCCTTGGTTTCTCAGTCCTCTGTCAACGCCTTCTCACCGAATTCCTCTCCCAGGGGTAGGCAGGGATCCACCAGCTTCTCTGCCTTGTGGATGAGGAGAGTTCCAGAGGTAGATATGGGACTAGAACTAGAATCTTTCCCCCATTTCTGACACCTGCTGGGCTGCCGGAGCTGGGCCGGAAACGGAAGCTTCCCCTGGCTTTGTTGGGCTTCCTGGGGAAGGGTGAGCTGGTCCGGGATGACTCAGCACCCTGCATGGAATCCAACCCTTGGCCCAGTGAATGTGCCTGGCTCTGGGGAAGGGGAATTGCCTCTCACGGAGGGTCAGCCCCATCTCTCTGGGGGAGAGGGAGTAGGGGCCGTGCCTGTCTCTGCCTCTGCCTTGGGGAGCACAGCACAGATCTGACCATGTGTCCCCCTGCCAAGCCCTTGGATGTGTGGTTAAGCTCTCAGTCTCTTTCCTGCATTGCTAAAATGGGGTTCCCCCACAAGGTCTCCCATCCCTGGGGGTGAAAAAGGTCAGCGAGTGTATGGGTGTGTGTAGAGGGAGGCAGCCCAGCCTGGGTGAAGGTTGGGGGGTGGGGCATTGTGGTAAGGGCCTGACAGCCCTGAGAGATGGGCCTTCCAGAGATCACCCACCTCCCAGAGTCCCCAGCTACCCACCAGGCTGCTCGGATCTGAAACCCACCCCCCCATTGCCACCCTCCACCCCCGAACTCCCACAGCCCTGCCCTGACCTCACTGGGCCTTTGTCTGATCCCTGAGGCCCTGTCTGTGGGCCTGTCTCCTACATATAGAATGGGTCCCATTGTCCTGACTGCTTGCTGTGACATAGCTCCCAAAGACTTCCAAAAATCCAAAAATGCTCAGTCACTTGGACTCCTGCAGGCGGTAGGCTCTGAGCTACGAACCTCATGCCCGGGGGGCTGCCCGGGGGGCTGCAGTCAGGCCCCTCCTGGGGGTGAGGACCAGGTGCCCGTCCTCCCACTATGCAAGAATCCCTCCACCCCCAGCCTGGAAGTCCTTCCTGAGATCTAACTTCCGCCCTGCTTGCTGCAAGGGAAAGATGATTTGGGGACAGAGCATGAGGAAAGGATTGGAAAAGAGAGAAAGAAGGATGTAAGGAAATTCCGCCCACTGCCGGATGTGGGAGACCAGTGGATGGTCTGAGTGGGTGGGTCTTGTGGCTTCTGTGTTTACTTCCCTATAGCTCTTCTTTAGTATTTAGACGGTTGGTTAACAGAGGGAAGTTCATTGACCACTCTGGACTGGAGCATTTAAGGAGAGCATGCCCTAGGCCCTGGCCCGTGTTCTTCCTATAGACCCCAAGTGGTATCTAGGGGCTCCTGGGATCTTTGACAAGGGGCTTCAGTTTCCCCATCGAGGTGAGGCGAGGCTGTCTGATATTATACAGCTTTTTGCAATGAAGTGAATGCGAAAGGGAAGGATGGGGGAAAGTCTAAGGGACTGAGGAGTTGGGAAGGGGCCAAGGAGGAAGGATGAAAGTAGATGGAAGACAGAGGACAGATGAGAAAGGGGAACTAAGAAAGGAGAGCTGGGTCCATGAGTGAGGCCGACAGCAAGAGGGGTCTCTCCTTAGGGGGAGGATGGGGTCCAGGAGCACCCAGGAGGGGCCCAGAGGCAGCTGGGCATTCCCCCAACCCCCCAGGTCTCCCAGCCACCCTTCCTGGGGCTCTGGGGCACCAGCTTATGAGCAGCTGAGCCCACAGTCGCTGGGAGGGGGTTCCTCGACAGAGGCCTCCTGGCATCTGCCTCGGTCTATTTCTGGAGCCACAGCTGAGTCACTTGGCGGGGGGATGGGGAGGGGGTGTCAAATGGGACTAGAGTTTGTGGCTAGGAGAGAAGAAAGCTGAAGGGGGAGGAAAGGGGTCTAGAACCTTGGATTCTAGGGTGTGGAGGGTGATCAGTAGGGTCCACCCCTTTGGGGCAAGAGGGGCTGACACCACAGCAACAAGAATAGAAATTAGATTACAGGAGGGACTTCCATATTGGCATCCTGGAAGGGTGTGGAAGGGTGGGGAGCGGGAGGTAGAGTCTGCTTCTCCTGAAGTAGCCTGATCTGGGGGTGGCTAAGTGGGTGCTGTCTTAGAGAGAAGAGAGAGAGAAAAGGGCCCCCAAAAGAGTGGAGGGAAGCAGGGGCCATAGATGGGGGATCTCAGCACCATGTGAGAGGAAATCAGAGACGACCATGGCATGGTTTCCTCTGCTTTCAGTCGCAGACTGTGGGCCCTCACCTGAGGCCACTCTACCCTTTCCTCTGCCTCTGAACCCCTTCCCTGGTTGGGCTGCTTGAGACTGTCTTTCTAAGGTGGGCCTGCAAACTCAGGAACGAGATGTCTGCCTCCTTTCTTTCTCCATGAGAAGCTTTCTCTCAATTCCCAGGAAGAGCCTCAAGTCTAACTTCCATCCACCCCATTGCCTGGCGCCCCTGTGAGCTGGGGGGTAGAGGCCCAGTTGGGGCGCAGGGGCTTGTCCCCAAGCCTGAGCCATCTTGAGTTTCCTGGCCTTGGATAGCCTTGGTTTCCATTCCCTCCTCCGTCAATAGACAGCAACAGGGGGCACATTCCAGCTGAAATTAAATTACATTCCTCCTTCCCTATCTGACAAGGATGGCATCGATGACAGCAGCTGTGGCACCACAGGGTCAAGTGGCAGCAGCTGGTTGCCCGGGGAGGGGCTGAGGGGAGTCCAGGGACCAGGGCCTCTGGAGCCAATGAATGCACTCATATTCTTTGATCTCAAGAGGCCAGAGCAAGAGGGCCAGACCCTGCGGTGGGAGGGATAAAGGTTAGCCCACAGGGTAGCAAAGCTCTATGGTGCCTCAGGGAATGATCAAGTCCAAAGGGTAATGTGCAGGTGGGAAAACCCAGGCCCCATGCAGCAGGGAGTTGGCCACCATCACCTTCTGAGAGGACCCTGGAAGGACGCCCTCTCCCCACAACAGACGTGAAGGCTGAGAGCCCTTTAAGAGATCACGCTCCAAGCCATCTTGTGCTTGGCCAGAGCCCAAAGCCCAGGCCTTTGATTTCCTCTGAGTCTCTGGCAGTGGCTGTGGCGGCAGCAGCAGCAGGGACAGCAGCGGGCTGGGCTGCATGGGGAGCTCAGCCTCTGACCTCACCCTCTGTGGTGCCTCAGCCTGCGCAGCCTTATAAGGAAGTGCCCCAAACAAACTGAGGAAGCCACCTCCGGCCCCCCAGCCT